GACCATTCACTGAGAGATTTTAAAAGGATTTATATAATTGCTCGCTGATCATCACAATTGATAATACATCTGTTATTTCCATAATGGCTTATGTAATTATTTAATTAGTTTCCCACAACAACCTGAAATCTGAATTGCTTTCATGGACTAGTGTTAATTACCAGCCCTATAGTAGCTGAAATTGGTATGTAGTGGAAATATGACAAGTGCAAACTGTCTATATCTAAAATGATGTTTTCAAGTTGGTCATGGTAGCTCACCTCCGTAATCCCAACATTTGGGAGGCTGAAGTGGGAGAAACAATGTGAGTTTAAGGTCAGCCTAGGCTACATAACAAGTGGGAGAAACAATGTGAGCTTAAGGTCAACCTAGGCTATATAACAAGTTCCAGCCTAGCCTGGACTACAAAATGAGACCTTGCCTCAGACAGATAGATGACAGATGATCGATAGATAGACAGACAGACAGATAGATAGAATAAAATGATAATTTAATATATATGAAGGAAAATAGACATATAGGGGTGGTAAATAAGCCTTCTGATGCCCATTTTTTCTCTATCAATATATGTGTCACCATCAAACAGAGCATTCCATTTAGAAGTTGGCCTTGTATACTAGTTTATTTGTTCATTTTATTTATTTCATTTGTTGTGGAGACAGAGTCTCACACTGTAGCTTTGAAAGGCCTCAATCTTGTGATAATCTTCCTGTTTTAGGCTACTAAGCCTTGTACTAATTTAAAAGTACAGTTAAAAGATTAAATACTACTATAGCTTTCTTGTAAATACATTAGGCATTGATTTGGATTTCCAGTTCCAAGAGTGTTTTTAAGTCATAGTTAGTGAAATGGTTCAGTGGGTAAAGGCACTTGCCTCAAATTCAATCCCCAGAATGCACATAATGTGTAAAGAGAACCAACTGCACTAAGTTGTCTCCCCTGAGCTCTGTGTATGATTTAGCATAAATGTACCCCATATACATACACCATCCATACACAAACACAATAATAATAATAAGATTAAATTTAAATTTTCACTTTTTTCCGGGCAGTTGGTTTCCGCCTCTCTTGCTGTGGGCAGCTAGCAGGGTGGAGTCCACGAGACTTTAGAAAATGTGCCTCGGGCGTGAGTAGTGAAAGTGTTTAGAAACAAAGCTATAGGAAGACTCAGCCTTAGTTAGCCTCTTCTGTCTCAGCCCTAGGACTCCAACCCCAACCTGTTCTCGGAGAGCAAAAGTGAGTTCCGGTTGTGTTTTTCAACGTCAAAGCTTTTGAGTTGTCATGGAAACATAAAAATAAATTCCCTTAATTTCCTGGTCCAGATCTCTGCAGAAAATGTGTAAAATGGCCTATTTGGGACCACATAAACCTAGCATTTTTTATTCATTTATTTGCCTTGCCTTGTTGCCACCTTTACTATGGTATTGGATGGGGATGATTGTAGCAAACTCTTCATCTTATGGAGAAAACTATCAACACATTACTATGAAGAATAATTGGTTAACTGTGCAGATGCAGCCAACGCTTCCTTTTCAGAGCAGCCACCAAGTTGACTGAAGTAGAGAAGAAGAGACGGACCTTTTGCAAGATCACCTACTGTGGCCTGGACAGGGATCAACCACTGGGCAGGTCCTATGAGCAACTGATGCAGTTGTACAGCGCCCTACAGAGGTGGTGCCTGAACCATGGCCTGTGGCTGAAGCAGCATTCACTACTCAAGAGCCTGAGAAAGATCAAGAAGGAGGCACCACCCATGGAGAAGCCCAAGTTAGTGAAGACCCACCTGTGAGACATGATCATTCTGCCGGAGATGACAGGCAACACTGTGGGCATGTACAATGGCAAGACCTTCAACCAGGTGAAAATCAAACCAGAAGCAATCAACCACTGCCTGGTTGAGTTCTTCATCACCTGCAAGTCGGTGAAGAATGGCCAGCCTGGTATCTGTGCCACCCACTCCTCCTGCTTCATTATTCTCAAGTAGCTGTGGCCAATGAAGACCACTGTTTAGCCCCTGAAAGAAAATGATTGTGGTGCCGGAGAGATTGGTTAAGAGCACCAATGCACATAAAACCAAAATAAACCTTAAAAAAAGAAAAGAAAAAGAATGATTGTGGGACCAAAGAGATAGCTTAATCAGTAAACTGCCTGCCACACCTGAATTTGGGTCCTCAGTAACCACATAAAAAGGCACACATGATTGCATGTACTTGCAATCCCAGCACCGTGAAAGCAGAAAGATGGATTCTTGGGGTTCGGTGGCCAGCTTAATCATCAACCCCAAGATCCCAATCTGAAACCCTGTTACAAATAATAAATTAGGTGACTCCTGAAGAATAACACCAGAGATCATCTTCTGGCCTGAATACATGCACACACATACACATGTGCATGAAAACATGTGTGTACATATACATACAAAAGAATGGGTTTGTAGCTGAGGGTGTGACTTAGTGGTAGAAGGCATTATAGTTACCGTGTGTGTTTGAGCCCTAGGTTCAATCCTCCATCTAAAAATATAGAATGGTGTTTGCTCCAGGGTTTTTGTTTGGTATTAGTTGCTTTTATTACGCAAGGTCTCACTCTGTATCAGAAGACTAACACAGAGCCCACTGCAAATCCTAAACTGGTTCCAAACACATGATCCCCCTGCCTCTGCCTCATGATTGCAGGTGTACGCCATTAGCCTAGGTTACTCTAGACATGTTTTTGAGATTGAGTCAATGTTTATATTAGTCTGGCCTAAAGCATACAATAAAGCCCAGACTGGCCTCAATCTTCCTGCCTCAGCCTCACAACCGGTAGGATTATAGGCATGAGTCACCATGACCCAATGCTCTAAGTTTTTACTAAGATATTTTAATCAGATCAAGTTATTAATGGACTTTGTCATATGTGGACATTGGATTTTAACAAAAAGCTTTTGTACATCTACAGAAGATCATATAATTTTCTCATTTAATCTTCCAGTGTGATAAATTATTATGATTCTGGTATTATATTAAACTTAGGCTCTCTGGTTTCTCTTTTTCAAGACTAGTTTTTCTTACTCTGTAACAGACTGGTCTCAAACTGGAAGCAATTCTCCTACCCCACCCTCCTAAATGTTGAGGTTAAAGGTGTGTGTAAGCCACCATTCCTAGCTAATATGCTTCTGAGATAAACCCAACTTGGCTATCTGTTATTTTTAGTGTTATGTGCATGAGTGTTATGCCTGCATGTGTGTCTATGCACCACCTGAGTGTCTAGTGCTTGAAAAGGCCTAAAGAGGTGTCAGATCCCCTGGGACTGGTATCACACACAATTGTGAGCTACCATATAGGTGTTGGGAACTGGACCTGGTCCTCCGGATGAGCAGCAAGTGTTCTTAACTGCTGAGCCATCTCTCCAGTCTATGATACATTATTCTTTTTACATGTTCCTAGATTTAATATTTTTGTCTTGTTTGGGGACTTTTACATCTAAGTTCATGAGTGAAAAATAATCTTACTTTTCTCTTTTATTAACAAAATTTGTTCTTTGACAATTTCATACATGTATTCTGGTTACTTTCCACCCTGTCATCTTCTGTTATTTTCTTCCAACCCTTCCCATCCCCCTTCCTCCTTAGAAATCTCTTTCCCACATTACCAGTTTTTGTTTTGTTTAGTGTCCCACAGAGTTCAACTAGAGTCATCTGTGTGATCCCCAGTTCATATATAACTGGATGCTATCTATGCCTCCCTACCTCCCAGAATCTGATAGCTGCAAATAGATGAGTGATAAGTGGTAGGACTCTGTGAGCCCCTCTCCCTCCCTTCCATAACTATTAGGAGGGCCAGTAGCGTGGCTGCTTTGATTTTGATTGTTAGGTCATGATGTAGTTAGAGGATAGCATTTTGCTGCCCTCCTCCATACCTTCTGTCTCTTAAATCTTTCTACCTCCTTTTCCAAAATGTCCCCTGAGACATAAGGGGATGACATAGATGTCTTATTTAGGATGGAACCCTTAAACATCCATCCTTTATTCTCTCTCAGTATCATCAAGGTCTTCATATTCACCACTGTTCACTGCCAGGAATGACTTCATTTTTTAAAGCTGATAGTAGCCTTTTTCTGTAGGTATAAAGATAAGTGTTTAGAAGGTGGTTTAATAGTATGTCAATGTAGCTGAGCAGCCGTGTTAGGCTCCCCCACTAGGGACCATGAACTCTACAATTATGGGCTCTCGACCAGGTGCATCAATGAACACATCTTTCCAGGAAGGTTAGTATCATAGTTCCTAAGGTTCACAGCTGTATAGCACTGTTGATGCCTCCTGCCCCCAGCAGCCTTCATAGCACCTTCCAGCACTGTGAGAGATAGCCATCAGGGAGAAAACTTCTAGCTCAGCTCCAACTTGATTTCTTCATAGCATTTATCCTAGGTGTGTGGTGCCTTCAGCAATACCAGCTTATCAACTAGTTATAATGGGGAACCAAGAAAACAGCAAGAACCTTTATTGTTTTTGGGAACCTCCCTGACCAACAACTCCTATGGAAGTATCCCACACCTGGCACTGTGGAAAACCTTACAATATGGTAGGAAAAACAGACATAGAAACAAATTACAATGTAGCATAATGAATAATAACAAAACTTGACTTGAGGCACAGTGATGCTCATCTATAATCCCTGCAAATGGAAGGTGAAAGCAGGAAGATCAGGAGTGTAAGACCATACATAATCAGTAGCATAATGAACTCTAGGCCAGCTTAGGTAACATAAAATCTTGTAGGAAAAAACAAGAAGCTTGACTTTTGCGTAACTCCTTTATTCTTTATTACTTCCACTTAGCATCTCTACACTAAAGTAAAACATTGAGATCCCTTGGGTGCTATTAATACAGGATGACCTTGACAAGTTTGATTTAGTACCCAGAATGAATCCTCTTTGGACTTCCCCCCCTCAATTTATATTCTTTGCTTCAAGTACCTAATCTAGTTTTCTGAAAGCCAGTCGTTTCTTTTTCTTTTCCTTTAGCTGTAGAAAATACCAGTTATCCAAGTGGTGATTACAGTTCCACACTGGTTTAACTGCCATGAATCGAAGGAGAACTAATAGTAGAGGGACCACTCCTACCACGAAGATAAGTCATCAACCTCCGAGGCTTCTCATTGTGCATATTGCTGTGCCTTCCTGGGCCGACATCTGCCCCAACCTCTGTGAGGCCCTACAGAACTTTTTCTCTATAGCCTGCAGTTTGATGGGCCCCAGCCGCATGTCTCTGTTCAGCTTATACACAGTACAAAACCAACATGAGTGTATCCTCCCATTTGTGGTAAGTCTATCTATACTCATGGTATTCTGAAAGCAAATGAGATTTCCACAACAGAGCTCACAGTTGTTATCAGTTACAGTAAAAACCACATGGGTTCCTCGTTTCCAGTTAGCCCACATGAACCAGAAGTCATCCTGTGTATATGGGGCGTGTGCTGCAAGGGGGAAGCCCCTGAGTTGGTAATTTGGGGGTTGAAATAGGCTGCACCCCATCCCTCTCCAGAGAGAGAGGAGAAATCTTAGCATCTGCATTTCTTTGAAATGTAAACAGCTAGATCTTTTTGCCCTCTTTGAAATGTAAACACTTAGAGAAGTTTGTAAATCTCTACAGAGATCTGGTTATTCAGTCACTTCCTTTCTCCCAAGCTTGTCCTGGGGTAAAACTCAAGGCCCTAATTTTCTTTGCTCAAAAAATCCTAACTGCAAAACAGAAACTATTTGCCCTGTGCTCCACTCAGGTGAAACTCTAATTCCCTCCAGGTTTTAGGAGTGACTAATGTGGGCATCATTATCTTTACAAAGCTCCCTCACAAGTATCTACTCTCCTCAAAGAAAATTCACCTCTTCCCTTTCTCTTGGATATAATTCAAAATCCCAGGAATGCGAAAGATGTGTGCATTCCACACGTCTCCTTTGAGTCACACTTGCTGCTATCTCAATGGCCATATATTATGTCTTTAAGATAACCAAAGGCAGGAATTTCACAGACTTGTTGCTGATTATGTGTGTAAAATGGAACTAGAATCCACCCATTTTTTGATTAATGTCTCATTCTCCTCATCGAAAGTGGGAATTAATATCTCTTTTGGTACTATAAAGTATGAAAATTAATGCATATTTGTTCATGTTTACTTTCTATGGCTGTGATAAAACACCATGATCATAAACAACTTGGAGGTGTCGATGTAAAAACTACAGCTCTCATCTGAAAAGGAATTAGAGAGTTTATTCTTAAGCTATTTTGAGTAGTCATAGCAAGGAAGCACAAATTTAGGTTACCCCAAATTCCATGTTCCAATGTGGAAGCAGTTTTATGACGTTTTATAGGTCCAAGAAATTCATAAATCAAGGCAAGCTTAAAATACATTGTTGGATACATCAGAGTGGCAGTTACCGTGAAATGGGGGAAGCTTTACTATAGGCCCGAGATGCTACCTGATGACATTCTTAGTCTGAGTTGGTAGAAGCTAGTGGTCTGCTAAGTTAATAGATACTAAAGGTCTTAATCTATTAGTCATAAGATGTTAATTCTGACACAGGTGGCCAAGGAGGGGTTCCAAAGGCCTAGAACTAGCCTTTGGACTTGCAACATTCCAATCTCTGCATGATACTGAAATTCTAATCAGTCAGTCAGTCTCTGAAGACAGAGCTTCTTCTCAGGAGTTCTCGTTCACAGAGAGGAAAGGTTTATTTGACTTACATTTTCGAATCGCAGTCCATCCTGAAGGGAAGTCAGGGCAGGAACTCAGCAACTGAAGTGACAGCCATGGAGGAGTGCTGCTCTCTGTTTTATTCCTTATGGCTTATTTAGACTGCTTTCTTATACAAGCCAGGGAATGGCACCATCCCCAATGGGTTAGGCCCTTCCGTGTAAACTGTTTGTTTGTTTGAGACAGGATTTCTCTGTGTAGCCTGGCTGTCCTGGAACTAGTTGTGTAGACCAGGTTGTCCTTGAACTCACAGATATCTGCCTGCCTCTGCCTCCCACTTCCTCTACATTCCATTCATCAGAAGCAAGTCATTGTTCTGTCCAGGCAAAGCATCAGGGACCAGATGCACCCCTCTTGCCTAGAATAACACAAACGAAACATGTGACAGGATGGTGTGGAGATAGTTCATTAATTGAAGAGCTTGCCTGCACAAGCTTGAGACCCAAGCTAAGTTCAAGGATCTGAGTTTGATTATATGCACCCACATGTAAAGCTGGATCTGTTGGCTCAGCTGGGACCTGAGCTTGATCCTGAGCCTTGAGTAAAAGGGTGTGGAGTGTAATTGTTACCCCAGCCCAGGGGAGGCAGGAGCAGGAGGGTTCCTGGTGCTCTAGCACAGCCCAGTCAGCATGCCTCAGGTCCCAGTGAGACCCTGACTCAAAATAAAATAAAAGGCAAATGGCTCCTATAACGACTAATCTTGGTTGTCAACTGACACACCTGGGAGGAACAAACCTTAATTGAGGAATTACCTCCCTCAGATTTGCATATGAACATGTCTGTGGGAGCATTTTCTTGATAGCTAACTGATTCAGGAGGGCCTAGCCTCCCTTGGGCAGCGCCATCCCTGGGCAGGTGGACTATGCAAGCCAGTAAGGTAGCTGAGCAATCCAGGAAGCAGCATTCCTCCAAGGTCTTCACTGTAGTTCCTGTCTGAGTTCCTGCCCTGCCTTCCCTCAGGGATGGACCATAAGCTATAAATTAAAATAACTCTGTCCTCCCCACCAAGTTGTTTTTGGTCATGGTGTTTATCACAGCAACAGAAAGCAAACGAAGACAGCTTCCAAGGCATGACACTCAAGGTTGACCTCTGACCTCAACACACACACACACACACACACACTTCTCAAGACACTGCACACATCAGGTAGTACAATGAGGGGAACTTAGGGCTGTCACAATCTACTTCCTTAAGTTTCCAAGCCTCAGTACAGAAGAGGAAAACCTAGGCAGGTGCCTGTCATCCTCTTGTGTTTAGAAGTAGGATCGGGCTTCAGAGAGACCAAGGTAGCTAGAGGAGAAAGAACTATATACGGGAAAGGAAAAAGAACTCCCATTTTCCTTTTTAAAGGGAGCTCTTCAAGGAGCTATATAAATCAGTCAAGTTGCAAGCAAGGACAGACGGCATACCCAAGCCATCTGAAAAATTCTCAGAGACACAGAAAGAGAATATTTGCAGAAGTGAAGGCAGACTTTAGGCAGAGTCAACAAAAGATAGTGCAGCAGCCAGGCCACCCAGGACTAAAGAGAGCTGCCTCATGGGATCTGTGACCTTTGTTAAAGAAAAGTTAGTGACTCTCATTAAAGCACCATAGACTATTTTATTCAGGACCATTGCAGTAGGTACAAGGGCCTTGACAATGGGGTTTTGCTGTGGCGAAGAGCCTGAGCTCGGCTAAGTACAGTTTGGGCAGTGGGGCTCCCACATCTAAATCCCCAGATAGCGCCTCCCATTGTACACACCTTTTTAAAGCAGGAGTGTGAGGAAACACACTGAATTGGTTCCTATAGATTGGCCTCCAAAGATAACAAAACCAGAAAAGGAGAAAAGTAGACAGTGGTCTGGAAAGGTAAACAAAAACTTCTCAGTATCAAGCACTGTGATAGTTTTTCTTCAGGTGCTTTAATCTACCTGCAACTCCCAGTACAGGTGGCCATTTTTAAATCAATTGATCCCTTAACCACTCCATTAGCAAAGGCAGGCAGTTTTATACTGGAAACCATGAACTTGTCAGGAATTTAACTAAGCTGGGAAACAGCTGATCTGCCAGGTGCCAAAGGAACCAACAAATCACAGGAAAGAGTTAGAGTTCTTTTTTCTGCCTCCTGAAAGTGAATAGTCAAAAGTTTAACCTGGGCAAAGGGCCTGCTCCCCATCCCACTTTGTTGTTTGTGTGCTGGTGGTAAATTTTTGTATTTCATTTCTTTTGTTTACTAAAATCAGTCTTACTCTGTCAACAAGCTGGCCTGGGGCTCATTATCTGGCCTAGGCTGGCCTCAAACTTGTGACAGTTATCCTCACTTATCCTCACCCGTTTTCCTCAGAATGGTTGGCACAGATGAAGAGACAGTTTCACTGTTGAATGAACCCCAGGCAAAATGCTTTGGTGGTTTATCAACCTGGGATTAGAGAAAGCAAAGAGGGAAGGCTAGCAGTGGAAAAAAATTAACTCAGGATAAAGAAAGTGTATTCATTTCCCCATTTCTCTCACAAGGAAGTCTTGGCAGTAACTCTTGAGAATATAGCCATAGGCCTCAGAGACCTAGGAATGAAGGTGTCAGAGCTAGGAAGGCAAATATCCCAAGAACAGGATGAGCCAGGGCAGCCTGAGTGCTTGGCCGCGTCCTTCAGAGACTGTGGTGAAATGACTATGCACCAAATCTAGGGTGGAAACTACCATTTCTCTTCCACTACCATCCCATGAAGCATGTCAGGTAAAGCCTTTTAATTGCCTATAGTCAGTCCTGAAAAACAAAATCACACTTAGGACTCCTCACGGGAAAAACTACCAGCCAAAATTTCCTTACTGTAGAACAGTAAATTCAATGCTAGTTAGAAACTCAAGAAAATTGCAGGAATGATGCTACCACATGATGTACACAAACAACTCAGTCTATAAAGAAACGAGGCCCCTAATTCCGTTTTCACTGAGCTATATAGACATCTGACATTGCCTTTCTGCAGAGACACCTCAAAATGTAAATGTAGAAAAATACCGTCTGGGGAATCGTATCCAGGACAGACCCAAGATTGCCCCTCACATTTAATTTTTTAGTAACATCAAATAATTCTGAACCTTTTATTATAAGGAACAATGACAGAGAATTCATAATTAAAATATTAGAATTCCTTTTATATCCATTGTGACATGAGTATAAATAATTCTAACCCAAATGATTGATTTCCCCCTCAGAGGAAGAGTCCAGAAGAATGTCCTCACTGTGAAACTCTTCCTAATTCTCTTACATTTTCCAATAAAGAATTTGTTGAAATTATTTATTGTCTACAATGAGCTATTAGGGTCCAGAATGCTCTAGTTTAGCTCTAATGCTTACTTCCTCATCCTCGGTAGCTAACATTTGATCATGTCAAAGCAGCAGATAAAGTCCTAAGAAACATGATGTGGCAGCTGTAACTGAGAGCAATGGGAGGGAGCATAAGACAAGAAGAGTGATTCTATCATGTGGTGAATTAAATACTGCTAGAGACAATGTGAAGGATCAGATAAACATGGAGTTAGGAAGATAAAAACCAAAACAGGCCCAAATCTTCCTAGTTGTAACAAGAAATGCAAATAGAAAAAAAAGGAAACTAAAATACACAATACAGTGATTTTCCAAAAGCTGTAAAACAGAAAATGCTGGGGCTGGAGAGATGGCTCACAGGTTAAGAGCACTGCTCTTTCAGAGGACCCGAGAAAATTGTCAGCATCCTTCAGTCAGGGAATCTAAAGCGAATCTATTATTTGGAGTTTTTTTGTTGTTTGGTTTGGTTTTACAAGACAGGATTTCTTCATGTAGCCATGAAACTCACTCTGTAGACCAGTCTAGCCTTGGACTCAGAAATCCCCTGGCCTTTGCCTCCCAGAGTGCTGAAATTAAAGGCCTGAGTCACCATTACCAAGGAAAGCTCCTTATTGACTAGCTCCCCCATTGCTTGCTCTGTCTGATTTCTTACATGACTCAGAACTAGTGGCTCAGAATTGTCACAGCCCATAGGAGGCTAGGCTCTCCTTCATCAATTGTTAATCAAGAAAATGCCCCACAGACAAGCTAGTAGACCAATCTGATGGAGATTTCTTCTTCCCAGGTGACTCTAGCCTGTGCCAATTTGACGGAAGCTAGCCAGCACACTGGGTTGCTAAAAACTTCTGTCTTTGATTCATTTTTCTCTGCAGCAAGTGAGAGGGAACTTCGTTAGGCTGCAGGCTTGCATCTCAGAGCTGCGCACGCTACAGGTAGAAGGTTGTTATAGACCACATCATACCTTACTGCCGTTGGCTGTAGAGGATGGGCTCCAACAGTTCAAGCAATTCAGCAGATACATGACCACAAGTTCTGCTCAGCCCTGTAATTCCCTGGAGGTAAGTGATGCTGGTTTTTCAGACATGGAGCCATTTTCCCATTTACATCTGTGTAGGCACTTCATTATTTATTATCCTTATGTTATTCTGTTTCATATACATTGAATCTAATTTTCAATGTGTATGAAACAGATGCCCAGCTATCTGCAAGTAGAAGACATTATTCCCCTTTCCCATAACCCATAACCTGTTTTTCTGAGTAAGAGAGAGAGTGTGTATTGCATACCCAAGACCTGGAGTTATATGCAACTATACAGGTTCCATGAGTGTCTCTTCCATCTCTGTGAACCCCTATGGCCCCTGCTTACTTGATTCTGTGGGCCATTTTCTTGTGATGTCCTTGACCCCTCTGGCTCCTACAGTCCTTCCTCCCCTCTTCTTCAGGCTTCCTCTGGCTTCACCTAGTGTTTGGCTGTGGGTCTCTCCATCTGCTCCTCTCAGCTGCCTGAGGAGGCCTCTCTGATGACAGCTGGGCTAGGCACCAATCTACGAGTACAGCAAAATACCATTAGGAACCATTTCATTGACTTTTTTTCCAGTTGTGTTTGGTTCTATCCTGGGTCTCTGGGCTATCCTGCTTCTGGATGCTGGCCATCCAGGCAGTGTCAGGTGTGGGCTTCCTCTCAGGGCATGGACCTTAAGTTGGACCAGTCATTGGTTGGCCGCCCCCAAGAGTTCTGTAGCACAATTTCCCCCAGCACATCTTGCAGTCAGGACATACTGTATGTTGAAGGTTTTGTAGCTGGATTAGCAAATGTCAAAGTTGATGCTATTCTGGTGTCAGGCTGAGACGGTCTTAAAAAAAACTTAAATAAGTTATCTGATGATGTTCTGTGGGTACATTGTGAGTGGGGGTTAAAATAGCCTCAGTTTTGGTGACTTCCGGCTGCAAACAGATGCCTTGAAAATAACAGTGTGGAGCTTCTCATTTCCAGTTTCACATGTAAAGAAGTTGAAGTTGCCACTTTGTCCTAACAATTATTAAAATTCTGTACTTAAAAAACACAGCTTGTGTAATAAGAATGTGTAATAAACCAAGCATGGAAATTCAATCATCCAGTACACAATGAAACACTAATGTGTGGGAACTACCCAAAATTCTACTTCATGCAGAGGGCTGGAACCAAAAAGATGAGGAAATGCTGACACCTACTGGCCACTCAGCAAAACTCAACCCGCACTCCACCATCCGCTAGGGCACTGCATTCCCAGGGATATAGTTTTACAGATTTGAATTGGAGCCTTTACCTTCAAATCCCCTGCTACAGGAGACATCACAGTGAAAGGAGGAATTCAAGACCCATCCTCTCAAGGCAGAAATCCCGACCAATATTATATAAATATGATATAGATAATGTGTTACATAATATATATGGGGGCATTGAACTCGGAGCTTTGTATGTTGGGCTGCATTCCACCCAACTACATCACCAGTCCCACTTTGTCATTTACTTTTTTAGATCTTCCAATTTGTATATCTATCTCTTGATGGTCTTGCTTTGGTTTTTTATTGTCTGTGGCTTTCTTAAACTCTATTGATCCCGATAACATTCCAGACCTCATCTTTCTACCTGTTTTTCTCAGTTGCCCCAACAGTGATCCCTGTCCTTTCTCAGCCAGTTTCCTAGCTCCACTACCTAATAGCTTAGTGCACTCTGTACTATTCTTGTTTCTTTGTGTCCCAATAGTAATTGAAGTTAAAGGAATGGCTGTGTTTTAAATATTGTGATATTTACATAGTGTAATGGCTGCTACAATTCCCACAACACCACTCCAAACTATAAGTGGCATTGTGGGTAGTGCCCAACATCCTGGCACATGAACTAAGAGCTTAGCTACTAAATTATATCACTCACGGTTAACTGTGTATAAGATATGATACCTCGGTCCTACTAGTCCTACTAGAACACTGCAAATACTTCAACTGAAAAAAATACAGCTGAATTTTTAAAATTCCAACCAATGAAATAACCAATCCTAGGTACACAAGTAACAATGGAGAAATCCAAGAAACATGAAATCAAGGTAGTGTGACCCCTCTGAAAAATGCCATTTCCCCAGTAATGGGTTCAAAGAAAGTGAATTAGATGAATACAATACAAAAAGATCCAAAAGAATAATTATAATAATGTGGAATAAATCAAAGAAGGCACAAAGAGACTGCTAAATGAAATCAAGGAGCATGCAAATGAGCACTATACCACAGAGGTACTTCACACCAATGCTCATCATCGCATTATTCACAATAGCTAAGTTACAGCGTCAGGCTAGAGGTCTCAACAGAAGAACAGATGAAATGTGAGATATGTACACAGTGGAATTTTGTTCAACCAGAAAGAAGAATGCATTACATCATTAGCAGAAAAATGGATGTAACAAGAGATTATCAAATTAAGTGAATTAAGTCAGATTCAGAAAGACAAAAGTCACCTTTTCTCATTTGTGAATGCTAGATTTTTATGCATATATGACATAAACTCATAAAGTAGGATGACGTAGACTAACAGGAAGTGAATGGAGAGGACTAACAGGAAGTAGAAGAGGAGGAAGAACGAGGGTTATATTCAACTTCTCCAAAGAATTCAAGAAAAAGAAGGGTAGAATAAAATATTTAGTATTAGTGAAAAGAATTCACCAAGCTGCAGTTTGTGAGAAATTATCCTTGGGGAAAAAAGAGAGGGAAAATAATACAGGTTAGAAATGTGCCTGAAAAGTAAAGAAAAAATAAGTGAGGATAAATGAAGGTGTTTTTCTTAGTCCTAATTCATGAAACAGATGACATTTTGTTCAAAATAACAGCAACAGTATGTTGGTTGTGCTTACACACATATGTTTATAACTAAGTGAATGAGTGGCAGCTGTGATATAAAAGAGAGGTAAAAATTAAGATTGTTGTTGCATATATGAGAGTTATAGCCTATGCTGGCCTCAAACTTGCTATGTAACTAAGGAGGGTCTTGAACTTCTGATTCTTCTGACTCCACCTCCTGAGTTCGAGGTCAGGCTGGTCTACAGACTGAGTTCCAGGACAGCCAGAGATACACAGTAAAACCCCGTCTTAAAACACACACACAAAAAGTTTGTATGTATCAGTGTTTTGCTTACACATATATAAGTGCATGCTCGTGCCCAGAAGACCAGAGAGGGTTCTGAATTCCCTGAAATCAGAGTGTGTAATACAATTAAAGACCTAGAGAATGATGCTGGGGTTCAAACTTTAAGCTGATGGTCAGAAAAGCAAAGCAACTGGTCACTAGCTCTCAGCTCTAACTCAGGCTGAAAGGGCTGATCCACGAGCTCTTCACCAAGCCTCAAACTTCTGCCTCTCTTCAGTGTGGCTGGAGAATGAATGCCAGCCCTGAGACCTTGCTCCTGTCTTATATACCTCCCTAATGCTGGGATTAAAGGCGTGTGATCTCTTTGTGGGAGCTGTTTCTCTTTCAGACTGGATCAATCTTGTGTAGATCTGGGTGACCTTGGACTCACAAAGATCCACCTACCTCTTAATCCTGAGTCCTAGAATTAAAGGTGTATACCACCAGCTCTGCTTCTGACTGCTGGGATTAAAGGTATGTGCCTGGCTTCTATGGCTTGTGGCTGACTTTGCTTTCTGAATCCTCAGGCAAGCTTTAACAAATCATAAATAATACATCACTACCGGAGTTGTGGAGGGATGTGAACTGAGCCCAGGTCCTTGCAAGAACAGCCAGCGCTCCTAACTGCTGAGTCATCTCTCCAGCACCAATATGATAATTCTTTTTTATTACACAAAGATTTTTTTTTTAGTTTTTTGAGTCAAGGTTTCTTTGTATTGTCTTGGAGCCTGCCCTAGAACTCCCTTTGTAGACCAGGCTGGCCTCGAACTCACAGAGATCTGCCTGCCTCTGCCTCCCAAGTATTGGGATTAAAGGTGTGTACCACCAATGCCCAGCTTATACAAAGATTTTTATAGATAAAAATAAATGGTGATAAAGTTAAAATAATCAGATATATGACACAGTACTATAAACACACCCACAACATAGACAATGTCCACTTCAGTTAAACTGTATCATTTGTCATATAAATGTACTGTTTATTAAAATTTTACTACATTTGTAGCTTACTTGTATTTAATTTAAATTGTACTTTAACATGATGAGTACTAAAGTCATATAGAATTCATGTTTTGTTTTATGGTATGCATATTTAAGTAAAGTACTACCAAAAAAAAAAGATTTCTGAACACTAGGAGTCCATAAGGTAATTTTCTCCTTTACTTATTTAAATTTAAAATAGATGATACGCTGCAGCTGTCTACAAAGTATTCTCTGTAGTTGTCCTCAGTGACTGAGAAGACAGGTGACTTCTGTCAAAAGACAACCTTGAGGGAACAATAGGCTATTTTGAAGCTTCTGAGCCAGAGGCTCAGATGCCGCACCTAAGACCCAAGATGTGAAATTGGAAGAGTTCTAGAGTCTCTCTGATGGAGGAAAATAAGGATAAAGACTTGGAGGAAGCTATGCAGCATGAAGCTATGCAGAACCACAAGTGCTGAGTGCCTTCCATGCCAGGCACTACCCTCAGGACAATCCTGTAATCTGTGGGATATTCACTGCTTGCTAAATGAGGAAAATGGAGTTCAAGAAAATTACTAACTCATGTAACATCACAGAGCTAGAAAATAGCAGAAACCAGTCTCCCCAGTGTTGTCTTCCTAGCTAAAGAAATGATTGATTCTACCACAGCTTAGCTTCTGAAAGCCACCAGTGAGCTCTAAGAAGAGGACCCAGGATCAGATTCCCTGCCAGGACACTGAGAGCATACAGTTCGTTAAAATGGCCAGAATGGAACAACATTCATCAGTTTCCAAAGCACAGGAGGTATAAGCAAGAGGGCTGGATTATTGAGATGACTAACTTTATGCATCCACTTGACAGGACCATGGGATACCTAAATTGTTCTGTATGGCTTCCCCTCCCTCTGCAACTTCCAGTTCCTCTTCACTTCCCCTCCCATCAGACCCATCCCCTTTCTGCCTCTCATTGGAAAGCAAACAGACTTTTAAGGGATAATAATATTAAATATAATAATATGAAACAAAAACAAATACACAGGAGTAGAATGAAGGAGGAGGAAGAAAAGAGCCCAAGGGAAGGCACAAGAGTCTCTCATTTGAATACTCAGGAATCTCATAAAAACACCAAACTGAAGTTATAATATATGCACAAAGAGCCTGTATGTTAAAAGAAGAAATGTGTGTGTAACAAAATTAAAAAATAAGATGAAAAATTTAAACCCTGACATGACATCATTCTTAATGTGAGAGTCTCTGCACAATGTCATCTACATGAGGCAAAATGTAATAGATCTGCAAAGATGAACAGATGAATCCACTATTCTTACTGGGAACCTCAGCACCCTCTATCAGAAATGGACAGATCCAGCACGCAGAACAATCTTTAAGGCATAACTGAACTCTTCAGTCAAATCAAAAGGATATAATCAGCACCTATAGAACTAATCATCTAAAAATAGACAAATGGAACACACACAAAGATTGGCCATACCGTAGGCCATAAAGGATTCCCTTGCAATTTCATACAAAAATAATATAGTGTCTTCTCTCAGACCACAGCTGAATTAATGCAGAAACCTGTACATGCATTCTTCCCACCAGCTGCCTGGGTCCTGTTGCTGCTTTAGCCCCCAAATAACACACAAGACACTATATTAATTATGAAGCTGTTGGCCATTTTCTTGGTTTCTCATTGGCTAGCTCTGACTTAATTATTGGCCCATAATTACTAATATATATTTTTATAAGGACTTATCTTTCCAAAGACACCCTCCTGATGTGTCCTTTCCTCCCAGGAGATCACATGACAACGACTCTCTTCACTACATTTCCCAGAATCCTCATAGACCCACCTATCTTGCTTCCCTATTGGCCAACAGTGCTTTATTTACATATACACAGAAGAACTTCCCCCATCAGAAACCAGTTCCAAAGGTAACTGAAAAGACCAAGTATGGTGGTGCACACTTTTAATCCAAACACTAGGGAGGCAGAGGCAGGTTAATCTCTGTGAATTCAGGGTCGATGTAGAGAGACCCTGTATCAAAAAGCAAGCAAAACAAAGCAAAGATAGCTGAAAACGGCAAATACACACACACACACACACCATGAAGCAAAGGAGGAAAAAAACTCTCAAAAAGTTCAAAAATATTTTTGAACTAAGAAAAAATAAAAACACAACTTCTTGAAATTTGTGGGATACAAAAAAAAAAAAACCAGTGCTTAAAAATAGCACTGAAACCATACACTAGAAAAAAATTCTATTTGATACTGTAAGCTTCTACTTTAGGAAGCTAAAAACAGATGGGAACATAAGAACCAAGTAAGCAGAAGAAAAAGAATAAGGATAGATCAGAAATTGATGAAGTTGAAATTAGAAAAGTGGTCAATAAAGTTGATAAACTCTAGTCAGATTATAAAAAAAGAGAAAGAAGATACAAAATACTAACCTCAAAAATGAAAAAGAAAGCATTGCTACTATCCTATCACCTTAAAAGCATAATAAGAAGCACTCTGAATAGCATCATATCTACAGACTGGGAAAAAAAATAAGGCATTATTTTCTTCAAAAGACACGTAAAAGAATTAGCAACAGTGACAACAAAATGCACCAGAAACCAATAATAAACTAGGAAGGCTGCAAGCTGCAACGTAAATAATGCTATACAAAAGTTTATCATTCTCCTATATACCACAATGAACAAGTGATGTTTGAAATAAAACTAAGCCCACTAGACTATTTGGCTTGGTTATACATACCTATAATCACAACACTCAAAAGTATTACAAACACTGTAATAAAGACAGCCCCTTTGAGAGATGGTGCTGGGGAATTTGAATACACACATGCAGAAAACTAAAGCAAAACCCTTATCTCTCACCCTCTATACAAATCAACTCAAAATGTATTGCAGACCTTTATGTAAGACTTAAATATTAAAACTATAAGAGAAAAATTAAGGGGAAATAATTTGGCTCTACAAAAGAAACAATCAAGCGGGGGGGGGGGGTGATGGCACATCCATTTAATCCCAGCACTAGGGAGGAGAAGGCAGGTGAATCTCTGTGAGTTCAACACCAGCCTGGTTTACAGAGTGAAATCCAGGACAACCAAGACTATACAATGAAACCCTGTCTTGAAAAGAGAGAATCAGCAGAGTGAAGAGAAAATCCTTTCTAGTTATTTATCAGACAGGCAGTGAATATCCAAAATATATAAAGAACTTGAGCTGGAGAGATGGGTGAGTGGTTAAGAGCCCTGACTGCTCTTCCCAAGAGACTGGAGATTGGTTCCTAGCACCCACATGGTGGCTCATTAGTATCTGTAACTCTAGTTCTAGGTGATATGCACCAGGCACAAAAGTGGTGCATAGACATGCATGCGGGCAAAACGCCCATACACATAAAATAAAATAATACTGATTTTAAAGTGAACATAATCATACATAGAAATTTAAAGCATGAATCTTTTTAAACATTATATATATGCATATATATCTAAAACTAATTTTAAATGCAAGTAATCCAAACAATAAGCAAATGAGCTGAAAAGACACTTTTCAAATGAAGGAGTGAGCCTAAAGACCTTAAGAGATGGCTCACCAAAAAAAAAAAAAATCATATGGGGCTGGAGAGATGGCTCAGCAGTTAAGAGCACTGACTGTTCTTCCAGAGATCCTGAGTTCAATTCCCGGCAACCACATGGTGGCTCACAACCACCTTGAATGAGATCTGGTGCCCTCTGCTGGCAGGCAGAAGACTGTATACACAATAAATAAAATGTTTTTTAAAAGATTTATTTTTAAAAAATCATACAACTAGCAAGTGAGCATATGAAGAGATGATCCACATGGTATGTCACCGCAAGTATACAAGGTAAAACAGAGTTCTAGTAGATCTTAATAACAGTAAAAGGTACTATAATTTCTGCTGGATCTATTCCTTCCAATTGACAAAGTCTAAATTTTCCTTTTAGAATCAACTCAGAGATCTTTTCCACATAAGCTTTTAATTTTTTTACTCGGTTTCTATGGTAAAAAGATCCATTCTCAGACAATACCTTCCCTCTGTGTTGAAATTCCTATAGGAGAATGCTGAGGGTAACATGACTAGAATGCAGTTAAGCTTCAGGTTTCCATGATCCACATGTACAATCTGTAATTTCTCTTCCACCAAAGCCAATTCTTTTTCAATTTCAACTGTTACTTTCCTGGGACTCAGGCAGGAGTCCCACCTGCAGCTTAGGACTAGGCCTGGGCCAGTGGCCTCAAAGCATCTTTTCCATGAATTTGTACCTTAACGTTGGGTGCCAATATGTAACACAAGTTCCAATAGGTCTTAATAATAAGAGCCTGGAGTCAGATATAGGGGGAAATGCTGAGAGATCAAAGAAGGAGCAACTCAAAGCCATCTTTACCTTACTTGCTTCACAGCAGAAAAAAGCAAGTTCCTGTTTCCTCCCACCTGTATTCCTTTCTCTTCCCAGCCATCTCACTTCCTGTCTGTCTGTACAGACCTCCAGACCTCTATGGTTAGCTAGTGGCATGCTCCACCCTCTGGTCTTCAGACATGCTTTATTCGTACAAACAAGGTATCACCACAACTACCCTCCTATCAAAAGAGGCACAATCCAGAACACGAATGACACCAAAAATGCCCACACGGATGTGGAACAGCTGAAACCTTCATCTAGTACTAGAAAGAAGACAACCTGTTGTTTCTGCAAAGCTTAGCATTGTCAGCTTGGCAGGATCTAGAGCCACTTAAGGGACAAACCTCTAGTCATGCCTGTGAGTTTCCAGACTGGATTAACTGAGGGGAGAACTCACCCTAATGTGGGTAGCACCATTCC